ATGGGAATAGAAAATTAAGAGCTAGCATTTCATCTTTTCAAGCTCCACTAACAAATCCTCTACTGAATTGGTACAGTTTTGCTTTCCTTTTCCATACAAGAAATTTATGAATAGAACAATTCATTAATGCTTCTAGATCAGCAAGTGCCCATTTTAAAGAACATCTTTTAGGGGTCAACTATCTCACTGATAGGATTTACACATGCAAGTCCTATTAACATTAGTAGGAGTTACCAGCATAAATCCCCATGCAGTGATAGGCTAAAAGACACTATACTAGGGTTCAAGTTCTAAGGATTACCTATCAAATGGTCCTGAGAGTCATTATCACCAGAAAGAGCAGATGTGGCAACCTGTATGGGAATGGCATCTCATTGCAGCCCTACAGCTAAACTGTGTTAATGGAAATAGAAGTAGCTTTCAAAAAGGGACCTGGGATGCTAAGTGTTAAACCAGTTTACTGGCCTTTTTAAGAAGCCATCATTAAAGAGGAGAATTCAATCATATCAAAGCACTTGTTTAAAAAAAGTGTGAATACTATATGAGCTCCAAGGTGCTTGAAGGACAATACAGCTACTTGTTTGAAAATTCAATTAACCTTATCTTTCTTAAACTTGATTTATTAATAATCTCTCAGATAAATTTTGAAAGAGTCCTGTTATCTTTTGAATATGTCCTGTCTGAGAAGCTTTAGCAACTACTTGGAATTGACAGATGTCACTCTACTTTAATTATTTGATTCAAGAACAAATCAGAGTTCAATGAATGACTTCTGCATTAAAAAGAAAATCATCAGTTTCTTGTCTGTTGCAAATAAGATGTTGGGGACTCAACGACAACAGAGAAAAACATTTCAGGTTCTCATTCACCAAGTAGATATGAAAAACATCTCAGATTCTTGTACACCAAGTGAAAAGTAAAAACAGTCTGTAGGCAACCAATGTACTGTAAAGCCATAGCCCATGCCTCATAGCACTGATTTTGAACAGCACGAGGTCTGATGCTAGCATCTAGAACAGTTCACTAAATAAACCACACCCATGTATCACTTGATTACCTTTCTCGCAAACCTGACATAGTTGACAAATGCCTGGAAACAAAATCAAGTATACAGCTTGACAATTAATAAACTGATATCAGCAAATAAATAATTTCCAAGACAAGCTTTAATGTCTTGGCATATATACAGAACTTTCATATTAAAAAATAGGATATCACACCTGAAAGGCATTGAAAATACTTTTCTTTATTTCCTTTGAAAACTTACTGTTACAGTGTGCAGATTATGAATAATCATGTATTCATACATTTTGAAATGCAAACAGGACAACTGAAAGCAGAGACATAAATTATTCAATACCAATAATAGTAATTTGTTTGTAAGAAATTTATTTAATTCCTGCTTTAAAGAATCACTACTATTTAGCAATCCAATGTCAACAAAATATTTTGAGGTCTTTAATTCTTTAGACAAAGGGCTGCCTTCTCAGGAACTGTAGCTGTGATAGAAGTTAATCATTAGCACAGCCATTATTTTAGACAAAGGGCTGCCCATCTCAGAAACTACCATTGTAAGGTTAATCATTAATGTGGCAATTTTACTATGGGAACTAAATATCACAGGAGATAACTAAATATCACAGGAAATAGGGAAAATCGAAACTTAGCTTTCCTATAGAAAAATATGTTTTCTGGACAGGCATAGTAACTAGACAAAAATATAGTAGTAACACAGGGTTGGTAACCAACTTCATATTGATCACTAAACAATAGTATTATTATTTTTGGTGAATGAGAAGCATGCATAACTAAATACTTTAAACACACGAGTCAAAATTCATTGATAATAGTAATTTTTAAGATTTTACATTATGTACTGAAATTTCTGCATCATGTACAACACATTAATTTTATTCATATGACTGCAGGCTTACGGTTTTACAACAAAACTAAAAGAATTTTCTTTTCTTTTTTAACTTAAAACTATGAACAAATATTTATTTGCAGTAATTAAGATAGTGGAAAAGAAAACTCAAAATAATTTCTATTACATTTTGAGACAACAGAAAAATATCTAAGTTTCTCTAACACAAGGTTTTTAACAGTTGTGTAATATCTTAACCACCACTAATCATATTCAGGAGCTTTTAAATGTTTCAACAGCATTAATAAACTGGAAGAGAGATTCTGATGCTGGCTAATGGATGAAGTAGGGTAAAATAAGGGTTTAGCCAGGAAACCAGACTATCTCCTTCTTTCTCTACATATACTAGTAGATTGCTATAGTAAAGCTATCAAAATTTTTTCAGTTATTATTGGTCTACCCTGATTTAGCTATTTACATAAATTTGCATGGTCAATTCAAGAGGCCTTAACTCTAAGACTATAATAAAGTAAAATATCTTAATTAGTGCAACTTACTGCAGTTGTATTCAGACTCCATACTCTCATATAGTGGAACTTTTTATATTGCTGGTATTGAGGAGCAGGGTCAATACTTGGGGTTTATAGATATGTATTGTGCATTTAGCACATGCTATAGCTGGGATTCAGAAAACATGATTTGACTTAAGAAAGATCTGAATCTGTATAACAAAATAAATTATAATGTGATTCCAGTGTCCCTGATTTGTGTAACATTACAAAAGGGAAAAGAAAGAAGGAACTAAAGAGATAGGAGAGGGCTGTACAATGGGTAGAGGAGTTAGGAGTAGCCTGAGAGGCTGGAGAAGTTTTCTTTACATCTGGATTAACCTAGGAGGTTGGAAAGGTAAGGCAAGGGATACATTCCTTGGTTCTTTCCATTTCTCGAGTCTGTGACCTGACAGAGTTCACTTTCCTGAAATCTGGGGAGGTCAGAGCTCCTGTAGCCGAAGCCTATAAGAATTATGTGCTCTTTACTGTGATCATGGCCCTCTGGTCAGCAGTATAGGGTGGAGTAAACAACAATAAACGTTTCATGTATTTATATATTGAAATAAGTTGTTAAATCCAAACTACTGCTCAAAAAAGTAAATCAGAGCTTGATATTTGTAAAAAAAATTAATACTGTCACTGTAACTAAAATTTGCTACCTATGTACAGCCCTAACACTTTATGTTAAGTGCATACTAGCATTTATCAATTGTTATACTCTACTCAGAGTCCTTGCCGGTTTCAGGTTTACCTACCAAAAAAGAAATATGAAGAATTTTCCTCCTTAAGTATTTTCCTTATTAAGAGTCAAACCCCAAATACCATGTTACTATGTTTACTGACATATCTGTCTATATATAATCTCTCTATATAAAAGGTTAATATGCAAAGTGTCCCCTTGGGCGTTCGATTGGGAGACCAGGAGTTCGATCACTTGCTATGGCATGCACTGACCACCAGGGGGAGGCGTGGAACAGAGGAAGGCCCAGACTGGCAGCCAGCAGCTGGCAACCAGGGAAGGCAGGCCCAGGCCAGCAGCCAGAAGGCCCCGATCATCCTTGATCGCCGGCCAGGCCTAAGGACCCTACCTGTGCACGAATGTCATGCACTGGGCCTCTAGTAAGACTATAAAATACTAATATAGGAAAAAGAGTTTATTTTAAAAGCTTAATGCAATAAAAACATTGAGATCTATTGTGTTGGGGAAGTTGACAGCAAACAATTATTTGTTGTCAATAACTGTTTGTTGCATGAGGTTTTTGATAATCATCTCCAAGTCAATGGGAAAATTCTGAAACTTTTCTTCCAGAAAAGCCATTCTAAAGATGGCACTACATTTATCTTCAAAATCATTCACATAGAATAGGCAGGGTATTACTATTTCTACCTTGATATGGAGACACTGAGGCCCAGAAGTTAAAAAAATTTGCCTGATATTATCAGTAGTGTAGCTAGGACTAAATTAGGTCCATAGACAATTAGGGTAGTGCTCCAGTTACTTACAGAATTTCCAAAGACCAATGAGCCAATCTAAATCCTCTTTCCATTCCTTCAGTATTGAGCTTTCCTAGTATATAAATGATTCACATATAAAATCACTACTAACTTGCCCTAACTGGTTTGGCTCAGTGGATAGAGTGTCGGCTTGTGGACTGAAGGGTCCCAGGTTTGATTCCGGTCAAGGGCATGTACCTTGGTTGCGGGCACATCCCCAGTAGGGGGTGTGCAGGAGGCAGCTGATCGATGTCTCTCTCTCATCAATGTTTCTAACTCTCTATTCCCTCTCCCTTCTTCTCTGTAAAAAATCAATAAAAAATATTTTGAAAAATGCTCTTAAAAAAAATCACTACTAACATTTAAAAACACCAAGTAATGGGCTCATGATTTCTTTGTTAAAAACTTCTACTGCCCTGGCTGGATTGCTTAGTTGGTTGAGCTTCGTCCCATATGCCCAAAAGGTTGCTGTTTTGATTCCTGGTACATGCCTAGGTTCAAGGTTTGACCTCCAGTCGGTGTGCCTTTGGGAAGCCGGGAAGCAACCTAACAATGTTTCTTGCATCAATGTTTCTTTCTCTCTCTCTGAAGTCAATAAAAACATATCCTTAGATGAGGATTTAAAAAACTCTAAAAAAGATATATCTTAACAGTAGCATTTTAATACTTCTCAGTAAAACAAAACAAACCTCTATTGCATAGACTCCTCCCAGTTCATACTTCAGTCTTTCTTAATTACATTTACAACACTTTTATCATTTGTGTCATGATGCTCACACCCTTAAAGAAAATATAATTAAAATAATCAAAGGAAATAAGTGAGATGATTCTGAAGCTGTGGCTTTCAAACAAAGATTCAAGTGACAAAGCAAAATCTGTACCAAAAGTACAGAATTACTAACAATGCATATGATCATTTTCATCTCCAAAGTTATATTCCTGGGAACTAATCCATTTATAATTTTAATCTGCTAACTCTACAGGTTTAGTGTATTAAAGAAGGTGAGTCAATGTGCTTTAGAAGTATTTTGTGTTCTTAGAATGTCCTTTTTAAGGAAAATCCCTTTTGCATTTCTATGACCTGGTTTCTCTTGGTAATTCTGCATGACAATTGGCTACTGCTCAATCAAGAAGACTCTGAGGCCTGGAGGAACTTCCAAAGTGGGACAAATAGTTTGGTATATATCTGTTATTCAGAGTGCTCCTCTGGTTTCCACAGGTTTGCACTTTCCTTGGGAGTCTCTGAATTAGCCTCTGGTACGACACTGGATTCTGAAGTCCCTGGTTGTAAACTGTCTCCATCCAGAACAATGTCTTCAGGATTTGGAGGTGGTGGACAGAAGTCTTCATTGGGGCAGATTTGCTGGAAGAGGGTCTCAGCCTGGCCAAGGAAGAAAGGACACAATACTTTTTGGACATCAGTTTAAAATGTATATGCCTTTCTGGCATTATCCTATCTAATAAAGAGGTAATATGCAAACTGACCATCACTCCAACACACAAGATGGCCTCCCCTACATGGACACAACGGGCCAACAGAGGAGGGCAGTTGTGGGTGATTGGGTCAGCAGGTGAGGGAAGTTGGGGACAATCAGGCCAGCAGGGGAGCAGTTAGGCATTGATCAGGCTGGCAGAGGAGTGGTTAGGGGCAATCAGCAGGTCAGGCAGGAGAGTGGTTGGGAGCCAGCAGTCCTGGATTGTGAGAGGGACATCCCTCGAGGGGTCTCAGATTGGAGAGGGTGCAGGCTGGGCTGAGGGACACCTCCCCCCTTGCACAAATTTCATGCACCAGGCCTAGTTAAAAAATATTACACAATCTCTAAGTTATAGAACTTTACCCAGTATATATGACCTTCTAAAATATGCTTTCAGAATTCCATGACTTCTCTCCCTCTAATTCTATGCATGCATTCAGATCCACCCTTCAAGTATATAAGTACCTGATCAGATTCTTTATAAAGTGTTCTGATAGTTGTGAATTTAAGGACATTCAGTCTACATGTCAGTCAAATACAATTTCCCTTAATATCCTTTACATAATTTTTGAATAGAATCTATTTGTGATATCCATATTGTCTAATTGAGCATATAATAATTTTAACAAGTCATTGTTCAAATCAAGAAAATATTTCATTGTTTGCTCATTATTTCATTTTCTGGTATAATTTTTCTTCCCCTGGGCTTTAAGGAGTATAGCACAGTGTTTAAGATCATGTACTATGAATAGATATCTGTACATGATTACTGGCTCTGCCACTTAGCAGCGATGTGATTTGGGAATGCTTACACAACTTCTGAGCCTTAATTTCTTTGTCTATAAAATAGCGAAGACTAAGCCTCTATATATGGTGGCTATTATCATTGTTATTCATCATAATATAATTTAAAATGCTAACATTTAAGCAGAGTTTAGTCTGGTAGGATAGGACAAGAAGAAATTAAATGTGATCATAATTAACAAATACACACACGAAAGTAAATGTGGCAAGTAGCATTGCTACTCTATTCTAAACATATCCCTACTTTTATTTAAATGAATAAAGCTAATTGTTAGATAAGAATCCCTGGCATGGCCGCTTTTGAATGGCCCTGAGTGGGACTCAGCCCGGGAGCCTGGGGACTCTCTAGGCTTCAGGGCGCAGTTGGTCAGTGCCAGGGCTTGACTGAGGCGCCGTGGTACTATGAGGCGCCGGTATTTAAGAGATTATGGCATCTGAAACCCACAATGTTAAAAAACAGAACTTTTATAATAATATTGAGGATCATTCCATTGATCGTCCTAGCAAAAGGATCTCTAATTTCACTAATAAGAACATGAAGGAGGTTAAGAAATCTCCAAAACACTTGGCTGCTTACATAAATAGAACAGTTGGACACGTTGTGAAAAGCCCAGATAAACTACGTAAGGTGATCTACCACAGAAAGAAAGTTCATTAA